TATACAGGTTAGAATGCTTAAACCAATGTTACTGTTTTCTTGTGTTGTCCACCCCACCCCCGTGCGTATTTTTCAACCGAGGAGATTAGACAACACAGGTTAGAATGCTTAAACCAATGTTACTGTTTTCTTGTGTTGTCCACCCCACCCCCGTGCGTATTTTTCAACCGAGGAGATTAGACTATACAGGTTAGAATGCTTAAACCAATGTTACTGTTTTCTTGTGTTGTCCACCCCAACCCCGTGCGTATTTTTCAACCGAGGAGAATTAGACAACACAGGTTAGAATGCTTAAACCAATGTTACTGTTTTCTTGTGTTGTCCACCCCACCCCCGTGCGTATTTTTCAACCGAGGAGAATAGACAAAATGATATTGGACGGTGTAGTGATATTGATAAAAATGTTGAGTGTTTTACACACTTCAGTAACATGTTTATTGATGTATTTATATAAATATATTTGAAAGTTGTTTATATATATTTTCTGATATAGGTATCTGGCTATGATCGGGATCTCCAAATCTGAACTGGAATCACAACAAGATTCGACGATTGGGCAAACTTCCGAAATGACTGCTTGCAGCACAGTTCCTGACCTTGTGCCAAAACAAATAAAAGTCTGTCAGGAACATCCGGGCACTATTCATGCAGTAAGTGCTGGTGCAAAGTTGGGAATTCTTGAATGTCAGCGCCAGTTTAGGTACGAAAGGTGGAACTGCACACCAGAGGGCGGTTACAACGTTTTTGGGCACACATTGAAAAGAGGTATTTCTAAACTTTTGTTATATTCAAATCGACTGTACAAACAAATTAAAGCTTTGCATCGTTTATTAATCTATAAGTGACAAATATAGAATTTTTAGCCGTTAGTTCCTTTTATATTCATTTTTCAGAAACTATTTATAACATGTTTTAAGCTGCTAGATATTAGATCTGTACGACTGAATAAAAAGGCTCAATAACAGGACTTCGTTTTTCTTTAACTGCCATGAAAGAAACTTTGAAACGGACAGATTGACTTGAAATAGAGCAAAATGTTTCTCAATTTTTGTTTCATATTTGTAATGCAAATTTCAAGTCAGTCTTTGGAAGTAAAACGTTGTCTTTGCAGACATTTTATTTTCCTCACAGTTTGAAGGTTCTATTATTATAACTGGAATTCCACTCAATTTTGAACGCGTCGTTTGTTGTATGCGTTGCTCCGTTACAATATCGAAACTTCGACCTTTGTCCTATTTTTTAAGTTCGGCATAGCCAGGTGGTTAGGGAGCTCGACTCGCAATCTGCGGGTCGCAGGTTCGAATCCCCGTCACACCAAATATGCTCGCCCTTTCAGCCGTGGGGGCGTTATAATGTGACGGTCAATCCCACTATTCATTGTTAAAAGAGTAGCCCAAGAGTTGGCGGTGGGTGGTGATGACTAGCTGCCTTCCCTCTAGTCTATCACTGCTAAATTAGAGACGGCTAGCGCAGACAGCCCTGGTGTAGCTTTGCGCGAAATACAAAAACAAACAAACAAACCTATTTTTTAAATGACATTGACCTTGGATCTGCTTGTGAAATTAGCGCGATGCTTCACTGAATTTATAAATACAAGCAAAATAAACTTGTTGACTACGTAAACAGGAGTAAAAGATTCATTAATTTTATATTTGATCATCTTAACCCTACCGAGTGATTTGTTTTCTTCTTCGTCTGTAATCTACTAGTTGTAAGTATAAGTCTTCCAGTTTTGAGTGTTCAAAATACATACACAACTAAACGTGACTGCTAATTCTCTATACTTGTTTTGTTTTATTTTTTAAAGGAAATAATTTTAACATTCATTCTAAACTTTATAGGTAAAAACCCTGTATGTATCCATCGGTTTGTTATGACGTTTTGTAATTCCGGATAAAACTACATTCATTCCAATAGCTTACTTCGCGGAGAATCACACAAAAGTTGTTTCTAATAAACTCGTAAAAAAGCCACAAATATGGAAATATATGCAGAGTTGAATTTTGAGGATCATGGCTTGTTTTCTAGTGTTGACGGAAAGTACCACGTGAAAACAGTTCTGTACATACGTAAAAGTTTTATATTTATTGTAATTTTTGAGAAATCCAAACATTTTAAAAACATAACCGACATTATTATCGTTTTTTTTTATAACATTCTTCTAGTTCTTTCTGTGTACAAAGATTTTTAAGTAACTTTCTTTGTTTTGTGAATATCTATTTCTAAGTACTTAAAAGTCTATTTTATACAGAAAACCCACTTATTTCAAGATCAAAATATCATCGAGCAGAAACTATGCCTCAGGAAAAATGTTCACTTACAATGCATAGAGCGGTTATCGTTTAAGAACTAAATATTAGCCGTTTAAACAAAGACTAATGCTGTGTGATGCAGTTACTCGTCACACTGATTCACATATTTGGTGTAAACCTACTTCACTGCGAAATTCAATACACAGCACTTAAAGGCACTCACTTCGTCTTTTCAATGTACGTCTTTCATCTCTGTAACCTGAGCAAACTCTGCCAGCTCAGAACCATTAGTATTTGTAGCTTCAAAATGGAATATCGCATTTTATATGTGCACATTAAAAAGGAAACCACGCTTCAGTGGTACGAAGAAATAAGCATTTAGAGGTTCAGCTAAAACTTTATTTAGGTAAAGGGATCTGTTTAATTTTCGTCAGTGATTCCTTGTCTTTCTTTGGTTTACTACGCTGTTTCTATTCCTCCTCCTTTCCCACCCCTCTTATAAATGTACATTTGTCTGTTAACTAAGTGATTTACAAAGTGCTTAAATAGGCATCAACTTGCTTATTTGATGAAGAGGTGGGGGAATAAAATATATTAATGGAGATTTTTTTTTCATGGTGTATCAGAGATAGAATAATCTGAACGGACTTCGCTATTCAAGTAAGTCGTCTAACAATTTAGATTAATTATATTTATATCTATATGTTAAACTTTGTTCACTCAAAAGTTATGACGTCAAATACAAAACTATGTATCTGAAACTCTGCTTACTAGTTTTTCGTATCGTAGAGATTTAATTTTTCTCCACTTTTTTACATTTTGTTGTGTAGATATAGATCACGAAAAAGCCAAAATGATGAATCCAGTTTGACAGCAAAATACACTTTAATTGTACCACGTTTACTTTGTTTTTTACTGTTGGTTTGCTTCACAGACTGAAGCGCCTCTAAACGACAACGCCCTTAACATTTTAAGAAAGTTCTGATGACTTAAAGCAAATGAGAGTGTAATGATGATGATGAAATTGAAAGTTCAATATTTGTTTGTTTAATTTACTTTTCAACAAGGTTCACGGACCGTTGACGAAAAACTCGCTAAGCACTTACACCATGCGTGCATTATAATAGTGGCAGTCAAGTCGCACTGTGTAGTCAGATAACAATAGCCCAAGGGTTGGCGGTGAGTGCTGTTTTTTCTAGTCTATCAGTTCAGAATTAGGGACAACTATACCTTTTGTGTGACTTTGCGCAAAAAAAAAAATTCAAAAGAAATCTCTGGCGCATTTTTATACCATTAAATCGTGTTAGTTGAATTTATGGACACTAACACTTTGTAGAGTTTTAAAAATAAGGAAATCAAAAACATTTGTCCGCATACTCTAGGTTTGAAGAGTTATTGTCAATTGAGAACAAGTAATTTATCCAATTTTTGATAAAATGTAACATTCCTAACGAAATGGTCATCAGACAACGTTCCAGTTCTCTCCATCTGATTTCACCATATCTGAGAAAGATACACAGAGTTGACTCTCAACGTTGTCTAACCTCAGTTCGTTAGGAATGTTGTCGGTTATTATTTTTAAACTATGCTCTAGGTGCTAACTTTGTCTTTCAAACAAATTCCTTTTGTTATTCCTAGTTATATTCCAAAAGAGAGGTCATTTATTCTCTTATATTACTTCTTTATTACAATTCCAAATCTTCAAGTCAAAAATCGTATAGCCAATGGACGACGAAATTTGTCTCCATGATTACAGAGACCGTAAGTTTCGTTTAGTTGTATTTAACTACATGAGGATTAAAGTGGATTTTATAGCTACTTAACGATATCAATTCTAGGAATATTTTTTTTTTGCATATCCTGACTAATTTGCAAGAAAGTTGGATGACAGTAAAGAACATCATTTACTGCAGCTCATTGTTTTTACTAACTAAATGAAATCAAGTTTAGATTTCCTTCTAATGATTCTATGTTTTGATGTGATTTATTTGTTCGTTTGTTTTTACAGATTCTCAGATTTTGTGTCTCAGACTGGAGAAACAATATCATGTTAAAGATGTTGTTTCATGCAAACATTATGAACCGTTTAATGATATAAGTATGTATGCGGGATCACTGTAAAAGAAATATGTATTTTAACGAGAAAATATCCTTATTTAACATCATTGCTATTTCATTATAGCGCCATTTGGTGGACGATATTGTCAGAGATTAATTACCTCTTACTTTCTTGAAGCTGAAATCTTATACTAACGCCCATTCAGGCAGTGTTTGTCATTTCGTATGACAGATCATGCAGTGTCGCTAACTTGAGGACACGTGCACTTTATTATGATCTTCATATCCCACATAAGTAAGCAATCTATAATCAGTTGAATTCAATGAAATGGAGAGAAAAACAACGTAGTTCTGACAAATCAATTCGAACTTCAATACTAATTTTGTTACGTTGTTAGAATACTTTGCCATTTTCCTTACGGTGTTATTTTCTAAGAAGTAAGAATATTCATCCACAGTTTTAGTTATAGCTTTTTCTAGGTTGAAGAAAGTGCTATCTTCTCTATTGATTTTTCTATTGGAGATTCTGGTACAAAAACCGTGATTTTAAGTAAAATTGCTTAGCACAGCTATCATAACTTGATAGAAAAATCTATATGTTATTTATCACAATGTTGACAGTCATTTTTGGAAAAGATTCTCATGAAGATGAGTTAGTTTTATGATGCATCTTTTCACAACCATCCAGACATCGAGATATTGTGCTTTTAAAGATGTTGTCTCCCTCAACGTCATCACAATTGTTAAAAAAAAACATTTGAATGTCAAGGCAGATCTCTAGAAAAAGATCGAGCTTTTATCTGATTGGTTAATCATTGTTACGTTCAGAGGTGTTTATTGTCACGACCATCGTGGCATTAAAGATTATTTGTTGGCACAACTAGTTTGGTATTGAAGGGTGTTTGTTGGCACAACTATCTTGACATAAAAGGATTAAAGGGTGTTTGTTGGCACAGCTATCTTGGCATTGAAGGATGTTTGTTGGCATAAATATCTTGGCATTAAAGGTTGTTTGTTAGCACAACCATCGTAATGTTAAGGAGATTTATTTTCTGAATTTCCTTGGTCTGAAGGGTGTTGTCGTTAGTTCAAATCGTAGCATTAAGAGTGTGGTTATTAGTACACTTAAAGCATTTCTTTACACTTATCTTAACGTTGAAGATATTTGAGTGCATAAGTAGTAACTCTGCTACTACGAAAAATTGTGAAGCAATAAAAGTAAAATTTATAAGACAGTAATATATCAGTGATTTTATTAAGTATAAGCACTGAACTGTTATCCTAAGCTATTAGTTCCACCTCATTATTTCTTCCTAGTTTCAGAGAAATGCTTTTGTTTCTTTATCATTCTGCTTTGTTTTCTTTTTACCGACTAGCAGCTTTTATATTTTAAAAACAACGCGAAAAAAAGTCATTATACACACTTAATTTCTTATTATATATTCCATATTTCTA